TTTGCTGCTGCATGAATAAATTAGTGACTAGGAAATATACTCTTTTGAAATCTATTAGAACTTTCAAGCAGCTAGGTATTATTTATCAAATCAACTTAGCAAATTATCGAAGTATAGCTTAGTGACCAATGATATACTAATTATCAAAAGTAGTTCTGCCTTCTCTGGTCTATTTAATGACAAAAGATAGCACATTGGTCATTTATGGACCTATGCCATTGTCCACCCAGTGACTCAGAAAGTGTAAATGACTCAGAGTAAATCATCTCTGTTCAAGTAGTGTAAAAAAACCATCATATTTTTATGGACAAATCATTAATGTTGCATTCAAATATGAATTGTGACAAAATATAGTTAACATACAAATCTATGAATTAAAGAAACTTCCCTAAATATAAGGATTACAAAGTTATTTGATGGCAATCTATATCCTCAAGTTTTTATCTTTCTCTTTTTTTTCCCCACTTCTTTCTTAATACACACACATATAGCAACAGATTATATATATCGACACATTCATTTTGGTTCAAGATGTATTTATATGAGATGAAACTAGAAAGCTAGTGAGATGTTAGAAAAAGATTTATAGTTTGTATTAATTGTTGAAAATTTTTAACTAGAAAACAGATATGGAAAAAAACTGCTGATAATTTAAAATATTTACAATATATAAACTAGAATTGATGAAACCAGAGACAAAAAGAATTTGGAAGTTTTGCACTAAAACTAGACAGATCTAATCAGTGCTAGAGCTAAGACTAGCTACATGAACAAATTAAATAAATAAATAAATAAATACATGCATACATACATATAAATAAGAGTAAAATGACTTAATTTGATTGATAAAGTGTAGGAATATGTAGAGGTAGAAATAAGAGTAAGAGTAAAGGAGTCACTTTGGCTTTAATTCCAGGTTTCTACATAGATGGACAAGACTGTAACCAGATAGAAGGACAATTAAATATTCTCGGTAACTTTTTTCAGAGAAAATTTAAATCTCAGTTCCACGTTTACACCTAAAATTACCAAAATTGGCAGGGAAAATGCAGTTTCAGATTAACATCTCACCTTTCTGCAGTTTTTCACTCTTTGTAATATTAATTAAATTAGTAGGGGCTTCAGTAGCTCTCCGATGCTTTAAACAGATATCTTTATTATTTTTTCTTATTTAATCTAGCTTTTTAAGTTTCTCTTAAAAACGTTTTGGTCTTCCATAAGTCACTTCATCCCATTCATCAATAAAAGTCTCAAGAGGTACTTATGTAGGGATTTTATGTTTCTTATGGATCCTTCCTACTGTAGTTCCCTCTGTATCAGAGTAGTGCATCTCTATTTTTGAAGATAACTTGCAAATCGAGTCATTCCTCACTCAGGAGTCACTGATTTTTGGTACTGAGTTTCTTCAGTTTTTCTGGTATCTGTGTATAATGAGAACTGAGATGACTTTATAATTGATTTCTTCATCTCATAGCCTTTATCTGTTTCACAGGGAATACTTATGTGATGCTCTCACTAACAATATCTTAATATCTTGGAGGTTAGACTTAATTCGATACAGACACCTATGTCATCTTGCTAGAGCTCATTTTAAGCTTTTTAAGGTATAAGCCAAATGCTATTTATGGTTTGAAAATTACAGTGAGCACATTTGCTGTCTTTCTGAGTGATCCTATAAAAGGTCCCTTTATAAGACCAAAAGTTAAATGTTAGAATCTTTAAATCTGTTCCTTTTTGGTGGTGGTATTGTGGGGCATGGAGCATAGCAGTGGTACTCAATCTAAAATTTTCTGAAGAACTGTAAAGCTATTGTTTATGTTCCTTATATGTCAATATTTTCTACTATAAATTAAAATGTAAATTTTAAAATATTTACCAATTCATTTAAAATAATAGTGAAGCTGTTATAGGTTAACATGAATAATATGTTTCATGAAAAATAACTGTATTTTCAAAAAAAAGAGTGATATTGTTTTACATTTTTGTAAATCTCTTTAATATCTATTTTAGAGGTCAGAGGAATTCCGGTATCTGCTAGGGCAGTCACCATTTGCAATATCAAGTATTTCACTGTGCATGCTACTCTGTACCTTTCCACTATGAACACATAGTTTGTTTGTTTGTTTGTTTGTTTGTTTATAATTTATTTATTTAAATTAGTTTCAAGTATACAGTACATTGGTTAGACATTTATATAGTTCATAAAATGATCCTCCCAATTGCTCTCTCCCTCTCCTGGTCCTCCACCTAGCCAACATATTAATACTAACTGCATTCCCTGTGCTGTGCTCCCCATCACCATGACCATCTATCAACTACTAATTAGCACTTCTTTAACCCTTCACCCATTCTGTCAGACACCCAACAACCCTCTGTCACAAAATATTTGTGCGTCTGTTTTTGATTAGTTTGTTCTTTTTGAACATATAGTTTTGACATTGTGGATCTTCTGAAGTGGTTTTGGGGAAATCTCAGAGTTGCCAGGCGACATTTGAGAACCACGATGGCACAGTAATAGCTCTCTTTATATTACTATCTTCACCTTCCTCTTATTTTTATATTCTTTTTAAAAACAGCTTAAAGGTTTACTATTTTTCAAAGGAATACTAGTAAAAAAAAAAATCAAGAGTCTTTATTAAAAGTGTTTATTCTTAGTATAGAGAATATAATTTTAGGAAGTCATATTACTTGTTTTTCAAAGAATACTTATATTAAAGACTTTAAAAGTGGACTCAGAAGGGAGAAAAGGACTAAAAAAAAAAAAAGTGATGAAAGGTGATGAAGAGAAACAATTTGGTTCCATTTTAGTTGAAAGAGATTTTAAAATAAGACATTAAGTCCATGAAAATTTTATGGGAGAACAAAACTTTCATCTTCTTGCATATAGTAAGGCAGTCAAATGAGCTGAAAAACATCTTTTTTAATTATGACCACATTTGCCTGCTTTTCTGGTTTCACATTATATTTCAATGTAGAAACAGAACAAATGTTGGTGATAAAGTTATATTTGACATTCCATGATAATTCTGCAGAGAGGGAAGTCTCTGTTTTGTAAACTACAGAGTCAAATGCCTTATGAAAAGCTTTGGTCCAAAAATAATCTAGACCGGGGGTACCCACCCTCCAGGCCTGGGCTGCATGGCAGTAGGCGAGCATCTGTATTTGCAGCCACTCCTTAGCATCACCTCTTCAGCTCCACCTCAGATCATCAGGCATTAGATTCTCATAGGAGCACTGGTTCCTGATGCCAAAAAAGGCTGGGGACCGCTGGTCTAGACTTTAGAAGAAATCATGCAGCTCCTTATTTTTATATTCTTAAAGCAATAGAGAAGATTCAAAATGGGGGAATATGAGGGACATTTTTAGAATGCTGTAAATGTTTTAAAACCAAATTATGATGATGGTTCCACTATTGTAAATTTATTAAATTTTATTGAATTATAAATCTATAGTTGATGAATGTTGTGGTAGATAAATTATGCCTTAAGAAAGCCGCAAAATTTGTTGAATATGTTCTTATCTTCTTTTTTTTTTGTGAAATTGTCATGCGGTGATCTTGCTTTGCATTTTCACATTTATTGTAACTTGGTGACTTACTTAAAACTTTTATTTTAGGAGAGCAGAATAGTGTAGGGATTAAAAACACAGACTCTTGTTTAATTTCTGGGTTTAATTCCAAACTCTCTCTTTCTAGATGCTGTAGAAGATTGTATCTCTGTTTCCTCCTCTGTAAAATGGAGAAAATAATAGTACCTAACCTAATGAGTTGTTCTAAATATTAATTGAGTTAATATGTCTAAATGTGCTTACTACTCGGTAAGCAGTTTGTAAGTGTTAGCTATTATATATGCTGAATTAAGGAGCTAGTTTAATATTGAGTTAAAGATATAAAAGTAAAATAATAAAATTGATAAAGATATGAAAGAAATATAAATGAATGTGATCAATCTTTTTAAACCAAATAAACAACTATTATCCTTGAAGTAAGACAAACATTAGCGATCATCAAAATTAATTCAGGTATATTTATAAGTGTTAGACTAATGAATGATGGCATTAGTAATTAGAAAGATAAAAGACCTTCAATTATTTTGGCTATTTCTATTACCATTTTATAGTAGGTAAAATCATTTGAAGAAAGAGATAACCTGGGATGAAAGAGCCGGAGAGTCAAGATTATTAAAGACTTGCCAAAGCTGTTGCTGTGAAATGGAGAAGATGCCAAATAGGAACACGTAAGAGGATAATCAACTTGTCATTGGAATCCAGCTGAAGACTGTTATTTGGTCTCAGTGTAAATGGAAATATATTCCTTTAACGATCTCAAAAAACAAAACGACAAAACTATTTTATTAAAACTTATCCTCTTATTAATTTTAGAAGTGGTTTTAAGAGGATATAGTAGCCATTATCAACTAACCATCTGTTCTCCATGAAATATTAATCTAAGTCAATTATAATTTCTTTAAACTTGCCAGTGCTTATAGATGGACAAGTTTAACAACTGTAAGCCAATGAAAGATAACTATTTGCTTTGGACTTCTAAGGAAGTAAATCAGCATTCGCTGTTGGATGTGAAAAAACAATGCTCGTTATCCCAGTTTTTGCTAGCAGACATCTCCTGTTCATGAAGAGAAACATCCTTAAGATGAATCTAGTTTTTGTTTGCAGAGAAGATGCAGAAATGACATTGTCTCTTCATTAAGTAAATATCTCAGGAGCCTGGCCTAAATCTGGACTGCCTATCATGTGAGTTCATATATCTTTGCATTTTAAATACAATTTAAGTTAAAACTTCCATCATGGGTAGTTGAAATAATTCAATCTAATACAAAATAAGTATCTGGAATATTCTTTAGACACTCATTGTAAAATGTAAAGAGCAAAAATAAATAAAATACAGAAGAAAGAAATTTTATTTCATGAAAATTGGATTAATATTACATATACATGTTAATTGAATTTACGTTTAATCATCATTATGTAGTTAATCACTTTATCTGGAAATTATGGTCTTCTCTCAAACTGAAAATCTCAAAGGAGCTACCAGGTTGATTGGATCTGTAAAATTCAAAGCATCTGAGAATAAAACAGAAAAAAAAAATCAATTGTATGAGTTCACATTTGACTAAAAGTAGTTGTTAGAATGTATATCGATCAAGAAAATGGTGTAATTGAAACAATCTTAAAAATAAAAGAGTTTAACATTAAGAAAATATATCTGATAACATGGTATGAGACTTGCATTTGCTTCTGTCCTATTTTTAGCGTTGCTATCTAGTAGAAATTTACCAAATTGACTATACTAGTTTGAATCATTGCAGTGACTCTAGATTATAAGTGATTTACAAATTATAGGAGAGGGTTTATATTTTCCTAACAACATTTTACTTTTTTTCTCTCTTGACTTACAGGCGATATTCTTAGCATACCTCATTACATTATTCTCAGTGTGCATTAATTTCACCACTTTTAAAAATAAACACCCGTTAGACTTCTCACACTGATTGTGCTGGAATCAATTCTTCTGAAATTGTCCCTTTAAACTTCTTTTATTCTTGGGTATAATTAAAAAAAGAAAAGTGAAAATAAAGCTAAATTAAAATCTTACATTTTAATACAATAACCAAATGCTCTAACATAAGTGTCCTTTAATGCCTTCTTAAATAGATGATAAAAACTGTACTAGAGTATGTCATTCAGAAGCCAAACTCTTCCTCCTTCCCTAAATATATGCATAGACTAGACATACATGAATTAAATTCAGACCCCATCATAGCATTATTCCCTCAGTGAATGGAAAGGTGAAGTATCACTCAGCACAGTTTTACTGAGCCGAAAAAAAAAAAAATGAGAATTAAATGTAATTTCTTTCAAAATCATTTGATGCTCTTATATTCTAGGAAATCATTCAGGCTTGAAAGCACGAAAGCACTTTTAAATTGGAAAAGCCTTTAGTTTTAGTTTTTAAACTTTTCTCCTGGTTCTTATTGCCCTTTCACACTCTTAGGTCACTGATGTTCCACTCAAGTATATTCCTCAGAAATCTGTGCACCATTCCCTATGTGCTCATTCCTCCTTGAATGCTATTTAGAAGGAAATGATAATCTAACTCTGCTTTTTAAAAATAAGTATTTCTCCTTAATTGATATAAACTCTTAGGTAGAGCCACATGGAACTATCAACATTTAACCATTTTGATCTTTGAAAACAGTATTTTCAGATGATTCAAACTGATTCAGAATTTTTTCATATCAGAAAAGTAATCCAATACAATTGATATGAAAAATTAATTTTCTTCTTAATTCTTAATATGTTTCTGAGATTTTAATTTTCTTGGATTTGAATTTATATGCTATGTAGTATGGATAGTCATTATTTTTGCCTAATACTATTCTCCCCATCCCCCTCTGCTAATTTTAGAGACTATTTTCATCTGAGTTTGGTTAGGAAAACAGTATTACTGGAATAAGGAAGGGATTTTCACATAGGGATTTGAGCTTACATAAGTCTGTCAGAAACTGAGGGAACAAAAACAGGTATACCTACAGATGGAGTACTGGAAAAGAATTACTAATGATGTTAGCTAAAGCATAAGCTGAGGAGGATGGTGGGAAAAAAGCCACAGATTACAGTGACTTTCCACAAACTTCCTTTTCTTTTCCCTAGAACTGCAAGTCAGAGAGGTTACCAAGCCACCATGTCTGACCTGTACTACCTTAGTTGCTATCTCTTCATTTCTGCTTTCCTAATTTCACTCTAGTTTCTCTAAATAAGAAACTCTAACTTGTGCTAATACAGAGAAAGAGATTCT